ACTTGCAAGCAGTAAGATATATATTCAGTTTTTTTCTCATGTGACAAGAAATTCATCAAGGTTAATTAATAAAAAGTTCGATTTGGTTTGAGTGGTTTGAGCAGGAAAGACCAAGAAAAATTCTAGTATGAATTCCCATTTATCTTGTCTGTTGAACTTTGAGCTTTTCCATTTGATTACATTATTTTGAAAAAATCAGATCGGACATCTCCAACTATAGTATTCCTTTGTTGATAAAAACATAATTACAACAGTAAAATCATGTTCTAAACATAATAAGTAAGTCGAAAATTGAAAAATACATTGAATGCAATAAAAATAATACAAGGTTAGATTTGCAAAATATAAATATATAGATTTATCCAGGGCTTAAAGCAAAGCTCTCTTTAATATACTTCTAGTTTACCCCCCCCCAAAAATATATCATTTCATGTAATGCTAATGACAACGGAAACAAAGATAGCAAAAAAAATCAATAGGTCTAATTAGCAATAAACAATTTTGCAAATGCTGCAGACAGTTTTGTACATTTCTTTTCCATTGTTTTGCATGACTACAATGTGAAACTTCCTAGTTACATGTTTTATGGCCCATTTTGACAGCTATCAATAATATTGACTAGACTTTCTACAAGTCGACCTCTTGGCGAGCGGAGCGAGCCTCTTTAGGTCGGGAAGCGGCCAACTGAGTATTCAAGTTGCGAGAGGTCGACTTGTCTCGCTTGAGGGATTTACATTTGCATTTCCCGCCAAACATTGGGAGTTGCGTGACTGGCCTTTGGGGTTTCAGGTTGCATTTGCTAGTCCTAAACTTCATTAGCAGAATGAAGTATTTCCACTCCAACAAAAACAATCAAACGGGTGTGCCATTCTCTGACATCAAAAGAGCAAATTTAAGTACTTTGTGTTAAAGTTGTCACAAACAAAGATTTCAAGTCAATGAAATGGAAATGTGCACTTCAGATCTTGATACCGGCGAGTAAAAAACATCACAGCAAAGAACTGAAAGAGTCCTTTTTGTAGCACGTGATGTTTTTCCCAATCGACCGACAGTTTGATCGCGGCGCTGTTATGCAGCGATGCAACAATATAAGTGGATTTCGGGAATTTTCATGAGGAAGCGAGTACTCTAGTTTCTCTTCAGATTTCAAAATATCCTCTAGCTGTTTTAGCAATCATCTGCGTGATCCTATGCAACCAGAATTGCGTTTTGAGACCTGATCTTTGAGCAATCAGTAGAACAATCACCAAGACGATGGCATTGCAACCCTCGCCAAAATGGTCAAAAGTGATGAAGCCGGCTCAAAAGTCAGACTTTGCCCAGGTCCGGTTAAAGCAGACACATCATTTACATATTAAGCTTCGATTGTTTCCTCTGTCCATCGCCACGAGAGCATTTGCTTTCGCAATAGACAGGTCACGTTTTAATGCGCTTAATTATCTGTGAGTGACAACTTTATCCCCAAGGGTCCCAAAGAGTTACTTTGATTGGTCTAAGCACAGTGACCCATTTTTGGGTCGCTAAAACTGGCGCCAATCAGGTAAGAAAAGTCCTTCATCTCACACCATATTAAAACTGACAAAAGACTTTTTTGAAAGCTTATCAATTGACCTTCATGAGGATGGCGAAGCGTATTTATTTTTCTATGTCAGTAAGGGTGACATTTTATATCAGCTGACATGTAAGGGTAAAACGACCGATCTTACACCTGATCCCGCAAGACAGTCATGTGATATTTGTCAACGGGTGCTGATTTTGACAGCTGTCAATTCATCTTCATATGAGTGGCTTAACTGACAGGGTATTATCATTATTTTTATGTTTTTGTAAAGTACAAGACAGTAGTAAATGTGATACAGACGGTCACCTGATTATCAGATTTTCTGGTATCCTTAGGTTACCATTTTCTCTTACACATGGTACTCTGCTGCATGCGCTTCGCATGGCAACAGCTCCGCTTTTATGTTTCTGGACAAAATAATACTAAGCAAATGCTGGGTTACAAAAAACATGAGTACATGTAGATATTTGAAATTTGAATGAACAGAAGAGAGTGGGTCGAGTTGTCCTGTCAGTTGATGGCTTCATTCCACAGAGACAAGGGAGGGAGGGTGGGGGTTGTTTTTTTTTCCTTGGGGAGAGGGGAGGGTCTGTTGTTTCTGATTGGCAAGTGATGTGTTTTGCATTGGGAAGCAACAAACAAACCAAAGAGAAAATGTCTGCCACAAATGTTTATGTACTAAAGGAGAAACTATTGACCAATTTTGCAACTTTGCAGCACTTTCAGCACTTTTACAAGGACCTTTCTTGCACATAGCCCTTCAGTAATATTATTCCTGCCTTCTCTGACCAGCACTTGTGCCTCTTGAATCCCAATATATGTTTTGTTTTATGATTTTGAAGATTTTCTTAATTTTTTTCATCTTACCTGTTTACAGGTCATAAAATAATAGTGCCAACAATAGTCAACATAGGAACTTCTTTGTCCTATGTTTGTTTGTGTTATAGGTACCAGGAATGCCAATGATGGCACCAGGATATGGTCCTCCTGGCATGCCACCTTTCCAGACTGTTGCCATGCCAACTGGCCAGCCAATGGGTTTTGCTCCTGGCAGTATTCCTGGGATGCCACCAGGTTATGCCCCTCAAATAGCTCAACCAGGCATGCCACAAGCAGTAGCAGGAGCGTACCAGCCAATGACCAACACTGGATCACCAGCCATGATGAGTAAGACAGTAAATTAATAATAAGGGATGTTACATTTGTTATACTACTACAGGAGAAATTTCTGCAATTTGATTGGCTTAGAGCAGACAATGACTTAAATATTAAAACCTGATAAATCAAAATCATAAAAAACATCCTTTTTTCAAATTTAAAAGCTACAATAAGTATAGGTAATAGCATGATTTGTAGTAATATTTGGCATAAATACCACGAGTGATATTTCAAAATTGTTATACGTAATTTCACGAGCCGTTAGGCGAGTGAAATTTGAGACAATTTTGAAATATCACGAGTGGCATTTGTATAGGTAATAGCATGATTTGTACGTGAGATTTGGCATAAATACAACTGGTGATATTTCGAAATGGTCTCAAATTTCACTCGCCTATCGGCTCTTGAAATTACGTATAACAATTTTGCAAAATCGCTCGTGGTATTTATGCCAAATATCACTACAAATCATGCTATTACCTATACAAATGCCACTCGTGATATTTCAAAATTGTCTCAAATTTCACTCGCCTAACGGCTCGTGAAATTACGTATAACAATTTTGAAATATCACTCGTGGTATTTATGCCAAATATTACTACAAATCATGCTATTACCTATACTTATTGTAGCTTTTAAATTTGAAAAAAGGATGTTTTTTATGATTTTGATTTATCAGGTTTTAATATTTAAGTCATTGTTTGTTAAGTATTTTGATCTGTACATACACTAAGTATTTTGATCTGTACATACACTGTATAGAACTTTTAAAGTAAGAAATGAGTTTAATTTAGTAATCTTTATATTTTTTATGTTATAATATTATTGTTATTATAACTATTATGATTATGATTATGATTATTATCGCTGAATTTAAAAAGTCATTGTAAACCTGAACATACATGTATTTAGAAGTTTATGCTCAGTACGTGAGCTCACGGTCACAAGGAAATCATCATCATCATCAATCCAATTCGCTCATGATGGAGCATAGGTCCTCCACTGGTGTTTGCCATCTGACTCTTAATTTAGCAGTAACTGTTGCCCTGGCCACATAAGTCTTCTCATATGTTGTTGTGTGCCTCCAAGTGTGTCAGAGCCTCCCTCTCTTATTCTTCTCGTATGGGTTCCACTCAAGGGCTGTCTTAGCCACATGTCTATCTGGTCTCCTCAGTGTGTGGCCAATCCAACCCCACACTCATTTTTTTTTTATCTCCTCTTCTACCAGTCACAGCCCTGCCTGCCTCCACAACTCTTCTTTTGAGATTGTACAGAGCCACCAAATCTACAGGATTCCCCTTAGGCACTTGTTAAAAAACACCTGCAACTTCTGGTTCAGTTCCTTGGTCAGTCTCCACATTTCGACAGCATACAAGAGTACAATCTTCACATTTGACTCAAAGACTGTCAACTTGGTGCCAGTTGTTAGTCTCACATTGCAAACACCTTCCTTGCCTTCCCAATTCATTGCTTGATGGCCTACTCAGTTCCCCTTCTTACTCACAATGCTTATAAGGTTCCAACACTTATCCAGCTCCTTTATCTTTCCTGCAATCATCACTCCATCCCTCAGTTTGCCCTTTGTCTTTGTGTATTTATCTGCAGGCCAGCCTTTGCCCGCTGTTCCTCACAAGCCTGTGTTTTGTCCTTCATATCCTGTATCCTGTGTGACAAAAAGGCCAGATGGATGGGACCACTGAACACCATGCTTCCTTATAATGGTAATCCTTGTTACCCAATCCAGAGTGACCTGAAACACCTAGGGTGAGAGCGGCCGGCCTTGTCTGACCCCTGTTCTCCTGCTCAGTGGTGTGGACCTCTGGCCACAGTTGTTCAGATACTGGGTAGCACTATCTTCTGGATAGATCAGTATCCAGCAGATAAATGTCAGGGAAACTAATAAAATAATTATTAAAATATTGCATTATCGACTGGTTAGGGTTATCCACCTTTGTTAATCACTGTGGCCCGACCATTATGCATACCCTTTGCGGTAAAACCCCCATACAGAGGTCTATAAATGGTGACTTCTTGACAGGCACAACATCTCTATGCTGACACTGTCAGAGGCCTTTTCAAAGAGTATTAAGTTGATGAGGACTGCCACTCAACCAATACTCTGTTCTTAGTGTTACTCTATGGTCCTTGCAGCTCTGACCAGCTTGAAATCATGTTTACTCCTCTCTCAGCTTCTTGTCCAATGCGGTTTTAATGTGCTCCGAAAAAACACAAATTAAAACACTTTACTTGCCATGTTGACCAGCATGTATATGATGCCAGGTCAGCTTTTACTGTGGCTCAGATTGCCTTTCTTTTGTAGCTTGATTAACACACCCTTGTTCCCTTTTTTCAGCACCTTCTCCTCATTCCATATCCAGTTGCAAAAGCCCACAAGAACCTCCTCTGACACCTCATCTTTAGCCTTGCTCACCTCTGGTGTATATAGTCACAGCATGGTGCCTTTCCACTCTCACACTGTAAGCTTCTTCGTAGCATTCTTGATCTCAGAACTTGTTTATGGAGCCATGTCTAGCCATTACCTCGGTTCTGCCAGTGTTGTCTGTACCAACCTTAGCATTCATGTCTTCCATTTCATTCTTAACATCCTTGCATGGCAAGTTCCCAAACACAGCCTTCAACTCTTCATAAAAGTCATCCATTGCCTCATTTGTTGGGGCATAATGACTGTGACCCATCTTCTTGGAGCTGGGAAGTTATCAGAATTGTGCACGTACTCATAGATGGGATCAATAATTCAAAATAGTGCTTGTTACAGTTTGCCCAAGGGACAAGCAAATGTTGCCAGTGTGTCAGCATAGTTTACTTTTATTGGTTTTGACAGTTCCTACTGCTGCTGTGGCACCGCAACAAGTTGTTGCTGGAAGCACCAACTCACCCTCTGTTGTAAAGCAGGTTCAGGAACAAGAGAACAGAGCTACAGACAGTCCATCACAGAACAGTAAGCCAGAACAACAAGATGACAAGGATGGAGAGGTGAAGAAAGAGAAAAAGAAAGTCAAGAAACCCAAAGAAAAGGTACCTTGATCAGAGAATTGTAATTTTTATGACATTATTATTATTATTTTTTTTTTTTTGATAATTTGTTGTGAAACACTGAAAGTGATTTTGGTTAATTGAAGACCTACTGACATAAAAGCATGACAGTCAAGGAAACTACAAGCAGTTCCATTTAAACAATTTGCTGATGACAAGCTCAAGGAATATTCCTCTAAATAAACTTAAAAATACTCAAAATCTAATGCCTGTTTTCTTCAGTCTTTGAGGCAACACTGCAAAATTATTTGGTTTCTTTTTGGATAAGTCGGCATATAAACAATCATTGGCTGAGGTTTTTGTGATATCCGGAATAATCAAGGTCGAGCCAATGAGAGAACAGATGGTGACTACAATGTATAATAATGCCAATAATTGCGGCTGGACTGATTCTTATGCTATGCAATTCTTGTAGCACACAACGAGGATTGTGTAGCTCACTATGCGATTCTTGTCATGCAGGAAAGGTGACATGACTGGTAACTTACTTTTATATGATACTGTACTATTAGAATTTTTGGATCTACTAGTTGCTGCGGAGCGACCGAAGGGAGCAAGCAGCAACATAATCAGGATTTAAAGGAAATATATAAGGGGTGACGAATTGTCGAATTCATCACTTTTTACCACAATGCATTGCATTTAACCACACTTTTTACCACAATGCATTGCATTTAACCAGAGTACATTGCACCACGAACAGCTCAAATAAAAACACGGGGAAGTTCAGTGGGTGAGAGAGTGCATTGTTCGCTGCTCAGACTTAGAGTTTTCTTTGTGGCAAATTTTCTACAGCATAGTTAGAGGTCTTACCAAATTTTAAGACACGCAGGAGTCTTTCAGATGAGTACGATGGTTAACTTGGGGATTGGATTTCAATTCAAGAGCCTTTTTTGACTCAAGAGCCTTTTTTGCTCTTCGACTCCGCAACACGGGGGATATACAAATTCCAGTTTGCTAGAAGGTGATGTGAAAGTGAGAAAATGTCAT